GTGTGGCCTGCAGGTGTCATGTAAGAAAGAAAATCTTTAGGTCCTATGGATGCTCATATGTAGAAATGCAAAAAATGGTTGGATAAGGTGATTCTTCTCCTGGGGGTAAGTAAGAATACACCCTTGTCTTCCACACCAACAGAAGCTCTTAGCTAGTGGCTTTATATACAGTGCTCGTCCCTTATGATGGAAAACACAAGGACATGGCAAGAGAAATTAAAATGTCTTTATTCATTTACATACCTAGTACCATGAAAAGAAAATCGGTTGAAATCCAGCTGGTTACAAAGTGCACATTATTTATGCCACATTCATGGAGGGCAGAAATGCTCGTCACCCTATGTACCCAAAGTCACCTGGGCTCTTGAGAAAAGAGCCCTTTACTCAAGCACCTAGAGTGTCTTCAGGATGATGTGCTAACTCTTCATAGGAACAGAGAGGGCTGATCTGAACTGCACACTTATACTTAACAGTGGTGTTAGACATCCCAAGAGTTGACCAGAGTAATTGTGAACTACATGGCTAGAAAATTCTTTGCAGAAATGAGCTGTAGAACTACCTACATCACGCCCATTTTTTTCTGAGGAATGAGAGACTGGGGGGTAATGGAAACCCACAGACTGAAATGATCCTTCCTTCTCCCATTCTTCCTTACCTTCATCTGCCACTTGACATTCTGGAGTGTAAGGCACTAGAACTGGGCTCAGAGAAAGAGGAGCTCAAAACTCCAGTTCTTGGTGTGCAAAGGAAATCCTGGCATAGATCTGAAACAGATGCTAAAAATATTCTCTTCTCCTCTTATAGTTTCTGTCCTTCATGGACAGGAAAACAAGAAGGCAGAAGATGTTTGCAAAGGATTAAAAACAGGTGCACCTAAATGTGAGGAAAAATAGCCTGTGAAGAAATGCATAATTCTTAAAGAGATGCAGACACTATGCTCAGGAAAATCAAGAATCTTATACAGGGAACAACTCTGATGTCTGATGGACAGTGAGAAGGCAAAGACAAAAATCGATCTTATGAAAAACAGTGCATTGGTAGTTATAAGGGACTGTAATAGCAAGTCCCACTCTGACATGAATCGGGGGCCTTACAACTCAGCACCTTGAAGTGGAGGCCAAAAAAAGAGGTGGTAGATGGAATGTGGTGCTGCCCATCAGACCCAGAACTCACTCACCACTTCCTGCATGTACACATAGTGTGGTTAGAAGTCCAAGAGCAAACTACTTCATCTACCATTTCCATCTATTCACCTGCTTCTCCTTAATTCATATGCCTGCTGATAAAGGTAAAGATGTTCATTTTGAACTTAATAAAATGCTACTCAGTATTTGTGAGAGGCATGTTGGGAATGGAATGCAGAAGGAAACCTGGTGACCAGAGCTTTTAGATATCATAAAGGACCCCTGTTAACTATCCTGGCCTAGAAGTAGTAGATATGGAAATAAACCTTGTAACTCACTTCTGAAAGCAGTCTGATGCAATTGTTCTACTAGGATAGACCCCCAGGCCTGGTACTAACACTGTAAAAGATTCCCTTCTGTCTCAGATTCTCTTAAGGATGATGAGGGTATATTCAAATGTCAGCAAATTTGTTTATATGCCAGAGGATAAACAGAACCAGAAATCAGGGCCATCTCAGGAAACAAAGCACACTTTCAGGAAGCTCCTACCATTCATTCCTATATTGCCACTGTCAACCATGAGGAAAGAGGCTAACATTTCAAATGCATGCACAGCATGGAGTATACTGTGAGAGCTCAAGCTTTATTTTTCATGTTTTACTTTCTTGGAAGCAAAAGGCTTAAAAGCAAGCAAGCAGGTAAAATTCTTGGTGAGTACAGGAGAGAGAACCAGGAATGGCACCCCTCCAGGTGAGAGC